GCTTTCTCTATATTTTATATTTCTTCTTCCTAATAGCATCATTTTAAGGAAGCGCCTGGGGATGCTACTACATGTCCTGCAATGCATAGGACACCTCTCACAACTAAGAATTATCTGGCCCCAAATATCAGGTGGACCCACCCCCGTTAAGTCAAAGAAGTGGTGTTATTCTCATTCATTCAGGAACTGACAGAATGCTGAGAATAGAGTTAAATAAGACCTGATTTCTGCCTTGAAAGGACATTTTGGCCTTTTCAGAGTTTAGTCGAGAAAGCAGAGAAACCAGAATTACAGAGCGGTGTGGTCAGTGCTAACACAGCCGTGCACGGGGTGGTGTGAGTCTTCAGAGAAGGGGCCTCTGCGTTGGATGGGAAGACAGTCCCTCTAGGGAAAAGCTGATCTGAATTAATGAAGTTAGTTAAGCGTGGAGCATGTATTTATCAGTCCAAAAAAGAGAAGCATCTCTAGGTATTTCAGACAAAAAGGATTAATATAGGGATTGTTTTTACATAGCTGAGAAAGAGAAGAGAAGACAGTGAGGAACTCAGCCAAGCGACAGCCGGAAGAGGCTACCCGCCCTGGGCCGGCGGGGTAAAAGGAAGGGGTGGTGCTGCTTGAGCCTGACACTGCCACCTGGCAGGTGGTGGGACCCAGGAGGCCGCAGCTGCTGGAAAGGCCCCTGCAGCAGCCCCCACACACAGAAATACCCTGGCATCTCCCACCAGTGCTTCCCACTGGCCAACCTGGCCAGAAGCCATTTGTCACTGGAGCCTGGGGATTGGGGTCCCTTACACTACAGAGGCGAAGATGGCCGGAGAAAGACTCTGAGAGCAAACAAGGAAGTACACCAGAGCGTGACAGCGTGACAAAGGCTCGCTGTGACTAACTCTGCACGGCTGGAGCGAAAGGTATTGTGTTCTAGGCTGAGGTGATTCCATATCTCCACAGAGAGACATTGTATGACACGAGGTGGAGTGACGTGACGCCATTTATAGTTTGGGAGGGACACTGGCTGGATTGGAGGCGAGTCAGACCGGAGGCTAAAGCAGCCATCCAGGCAAAGGTCCTAAAGGCTGGAGATGAGGCTACGGTGGCCCACCCTGGGCCAGGACTATTGATAAGTGGTGGAGGCTTTTAGATTTGGTGACTATTGAGTGGGGAAAGTACATCTAGGATGACTCTCAGATTTTGGCCAGTAGGTGATGCTGCTGGGGCGGAGCCTGGTCTCTCTTCCTCTTATCCAAGTTCGAACCAGGCCCGATCCTGCTTAGCTTCCAAGATCAGACAAGATCGGGCGTGTTCAGGGTGGTATGGCCGTAGACAGCCAGCCCACTCTCTTTGACCTGTAGTAGTTGACCAAGGTTAAGTCTCTCAGACCTGCTGGGCCCCGGTGTCCCCCTACCCTTTACGATTAGGTCTTAGATGTTCCCTAGGACAAGTCTACAATGCTGCGATTCAAGGGTCTCTACTTTCCCCCCCTTTTCCATTTCAGATTTCTGTGTTGTTTTCCCCCCAGTGTTGACATTTTCTAGAATTTACATGAACATATTACAAAAAATCTTCTTGTTTGTACATTTAACTTGGTGTATAGTCCTGAACTTCAAATTTAAGAACAAGATCTTATTTAAAAATTACTGGTCATAGTTGTTTTCGGAGAATTCTCATTATGACTAACATGTTCTATTCTAAAGTTCAGACACCCCAGAATCCAGCTTGTAGACAATAGATTTCACAATATTCCCATCTGAAATTCTTTCTCCTCGTTCTGTTCATAAATATCTCTGGCAGAGCTCCCACAATTCATAAGACTTGCTACAAAACCACTGATTGAATTGCAAACCCCTGTTAGTCAATAGAGGTCAAAGCGTTAGTCCCAAATAATGCAACTTGGTATGTTACTCAGAAATTCCAGGAAAAGCTTTTTTCCGTGATTTTCAGTTTCATTCCAAGTAGCATACAACAATCATGTTGTTCAGCTACATGAACGAAGTAGTTAAGTCAATGATCTTTTAAAAAGCACGTTACCCCAATTAGAAACTGATTTTTTTCTGCATGTATTTTACTGGATCTGTATCCCAAAACCTAAGTTTTACGTAAATACTTAGACTTTTTAGTGTTGCAAAAATGTAAACATCTTCACATTGGAAAAATAATAGTGATGCATAAAAATGAGTTGAATATAGATATTGACAAGGCAAGAGAACTGATACAGTTTCACATCAAGATAAACTTAATCCAAGTGCGCAAAGCACCCAGTTCAGAGAGTTCAGTCTTGTTCTGCCGGCAGCCACATAAACCTATCCTTGTAACGTGTTTTTGGTAAAGCAATTTGGCCTCATTCATTTTAGGAAGATCAGGAAGGAATGCCCGAAGAAAGTGACCCCTGCAGCCAGTCTCAAAGTGTTAGAAGGGTATGTACTGTAGGCTTTCCTAAACCTGTGTGCACCTTAAATTCTACCATCACATAATATCGAGGGATCCTTTCAACCACATTGTTCTCTTTACTGTAGGGTGGCCAGTCATCCCGATTTGCCAAGAACTTGCCAGGTTTCAGCCATGAGAGTCCCCTGGGACAGCTGGTCACCCTAATATATACTGCCTTCCAATCGTACCTTTAGTCCTGACTCTTCCTTGGCTCATGCCGGTTTCCCATCTAGGATGGGCTGTCACCATGTCATGTCTCGAATTCATCATGGGGCCTGCCTAGATCCCTGTGCCCAACAGAGGCTCATGAACTGATTGGTCGGTTGATAGATACCTAAATGTTGGCACCTCTTATTTTATAGATGACACCGAAGCACAGATTGCTGAAATGATTTTAGTCAAGATTTACGTGAGAGTACTGAGTGTAGAACCTAGGCCTGGCCCCGTGTCTTCCATAGTATATTCTCAAACTATCCGACATTTAATCAAGTGCTTTCCTGCATCTCCTGAACTCTTAGGATCAGCTCAATACAGTTTCGTCCTGGGTTATAAAAGGTCTCCAGTGCCCCTCTGGTTGTGGTGTCAGTAATCTTTGTCCAGCTGGATTACACGGCGGGGATGCTGTCTGCGTTTCTGTATCCAGTGCAAGTCATAACAAGACCGTTATTACTACATAATATGCAGTCAGTGCCTGAGACTGCACTTGACTGTACATAAAATGCCTGCTTTGTTTCAAGATTCTGAACAGCTGAAACAACCACAGTCCCCTGTCCCTCCCAGAGTAGGTACAGGTGGACATGCGATGCTGAATGTTGGACTCGTTTTGCAACTGGTTAGATGTCACATCCAGCCTCAGTGCCAGGATGAGTCAAGACTCAGCTTATGTGATTCATTCAAATGCAGCCCACAGCTCTTCGGGCCCCCAGTTTGTCCCTTAGAACATGAAACTGCAGAGGGCATGTGGTAGCCCTATCAGGCTTCTGATTAATGGAACTGGGTGGCTGGACCTCAGAAAGGCTCCAGGGTCGAAGTCCGTGTTGTCCCTGGTCTCAGATGGAACCAGCCCTTTAACTGTGGCTCTCCCTGAGAACCCCTCCTCACTGGGCATAATGTCAGGCCAAATAGAAATGAACCCACCTGAGAACTGGGAGAGTAGAAGCAGATGAAACCTCTCCAGAAAGTCAGATTTTCTTCTGCACTCGAAAGGGCTCAGCTAAATTGGGACCTGACCCAAAAGTCTCTGTACAACTTTCTCCTTCTCCTGCTTTTAATATTACCTTTGGAGGTGACGGCCTTAACTGGAGACATAGAGACTTCTAGGATTTGACTTAGGTTGGGGTTACATCATGAGGCACTAAACTTGGAGTCAGATGCCTGTGGCGCGTGGCCCAGCTCTCTTTGTTCATGAATTTGAAGCAATGGAGAGAAGTATAGGCTTTGGAGGGGCAGCTGCAGGACCCCCAGACAAAAAACATAACCTGCCCAAATATCCATTTGATTAACTATAAAATGAAAGTCATTCTTTTGACCTTGTAGGTCTGTGTGAGTACTCAGTGGCATGTTGTTTCTAAAGCACTTAGGACGGGGGCCTGACAGGTAGTAAGCACTTAATAAATGGTAGCCTTTTATGGTTATTATCGTAATCCTTCCTTCATCTACTAGTCATTTGTTGAGAACAGGGGGACTGTGACATTGAAGTTGGCCCTCGAAGCCTGAGGAAGACTTAGACTGATGAGAAGGCTTAAGAGCAGGGTTTTTGCTTGGGGGAGGGGAGAGAGCATGGACACAGGTGTGTGATGGGCTCCGGGACATCTGGGAGAAAGGAAGAGGGTGCAGCATCTGTTTCATATGAACTTCCATGTCTGGATTTCCAGTACTTCAGTATTATTCCTCATCTCTCTCCATTCCTCCGCCAGCTGGAATGCTGTTGGCAGAGGATCCTCGCTAATGCGGCTTCCTTCATGAAGCCCGACCTTATGCCACCTCAGCTTGGTCCCCCACTCCTCATGTGTCCCTGTAGCACTTTGTAGTTCTGGGTATTTTGTAGACAGTAAGCAGCTGAGAGCATCCTAGTCTCTAGCACAACTCCTTGCAGCAGTTCTCGTATATACCAAGCACTCAGTTGGCCTGTTATCCGTGTTCAATTTATCCTAAGTTGACATTTCACTCTGATGCATTTTGAAATAGTTTTTATTACTTGAAAATAAAAATTTCACCTATTTTAAATGAAGAGAAGGCACAGTCTTGAATGATGTTTTGGCCTTTTCGTTCCAGCAGTTTTTCAAAACTTAAACAGGTTTCAGTGGATTCGAGAGTTTACCATCATATTGAATGTACGAGCCATAATTGTTTTTTTTTTTAAGGAATGTCTATTTGCATTCTTCCGTTTAATTTATTGTGAAATGCATTAGAAAAAAAAGTAAATGTTTAACTTAATTGAAAATTGTTTTTATTTGATCAGCCCTGTTATGGGCCATGCCTTTTTTTCTATGAGCAATTATATTTATAGCGCCCCTATTTATAGAGGCTCTTCTGGGGGGCGAAAGGCTAAATCTCTGCTTTGTTTTCTACCGCAGGCTGTGGCCACAACCGAGGAGCCGGATGTGCACGGCGGGTGTGAGGCGCAGGCAGCTGGCGGTAGCCTCGGGGATGAAGGTCTGCCCCTGGGGCCGGCGGACGCAGGGCCACACGTGGGGTTGAGCCGCGAGGCCCTGTGGCCACGGGCTCCCGGCCCTGAGAACATGACCACGGCCCAGAATGGCCACGGCCTAGTGGCTGCAATCCCCTGTCCGGTCTCCGACGCGAAAGACCCCAAAATGGTGACCTACGCGGCGTGCCAGAACGGAGGGTGCGGCGGCGACGCGGACGCCCAGGACGCCCGGCTCGGCCCCGCCAGGCTCGTGCGCCTCTTCTCCGTGAGCAGGAAGAGGACGGGCGCCAACCCCGAGAGGCCCCGCTCCGTGGTCCTGATGGGGCACTCCTCCACCTGGAACGCCC